CTCCATCTACTATTCCTCCCTCCTGGTTCTGAGGCTGCTTAGAAATCCACTCAGCTGCTACTGTTTACATTTAAAAATGTACCTATTATTTGCATCCAGTATTAGTTTATTTCCCATCTAGACCATGCATAGGAAAGGGTGGAGGAATTCTATTCAGTTCACATTTAAAGGTGAAGCTGCCTCATTCATATTTTCCAAAACAATACATGGACTGAAACACAACCATCTTGAAAGTCACACTTTTCTGAATTTTGCAATGCAGTTCTCCAGCCAAACAATGTGTACGGAAATGGATGTAATGGGGTTAAACTGACCAATCACCCTGCTAGATTCCAACTCCTGCTTCACACATTAAACGCTCGCTTCCATCTGAGACTCAGGAAACACTGTGACAGGAAATGAGGCCGCCATCAGGGTAGCAATGGAACTGATGATTCACCGTGCCAGAGAATAAGCTAATTTTTTAAAAACGATTTTAGTTTCTTCTCCTGTTAGATTCACAAAATGTTTAGGGGTATGCGTTCCCCTGCATCTCCCCAGAAAAAAGCACTGAGTTCAAGTGTGTATAAAAATGCAATTATTAGCAAAAGAAATACAAAAATGCGTTACATAATGGAAGACTGCTGTTCAAAAATGCATATATTAGATGAAAATCCACACAAATGTGGACATTAGGAGAAATTTACACTAGAATTATGATGGAATTTCATGGCAAATCGCAAACTGATTGTGGAGAACCGAAGATTGGAAAAAGGAGGAATTGAGATAAATCAAAAACAACACATTGACTCATTTCTAGCCATTGACCCCTTATCCAGTTTGACTGTATAGCCTCCAAGAATGCTGCCACCACCAGGACTCAGAAGGTTATCCATTTCACCACCAGGCCCTGTAGCATCAGCCTGAATTATTATATTACTTAATTTGGTCAATATGTATACCTCCCTTCATCTGTAGATCTCAGAGCAGTTCATAGCATAAAATAATAAAAACAAAAACCCTCTCCTTCCTCCCACAAACACATTTAAAAGGATATAGGATGTTAGTCAGCCAAAAGCCTGGTTGAAGAGGAGCGTTTTCACCTGGTGCCTAAAAATATGTAATGAAGGCGCCAGGTGAGCCTCATTGGGGAGAGCATTCCACAAACAGAGAGCCACTACAGAAAAGGTCCATTCTTATGTTGCCACCTGTGGATGTCTCATGGAGGAGGCACGTGAAAAAGGGCCTCAGCTGATGATGTCAGGGTCCCAGTAGATTCATATGGAGAGAGGTGGTCCTTGAGCTATTGCAGTACTGAGTCATAAGGCTTTACAGATCAAAACCATCCCAGAATCCACTGGCAAAGAGTGCTCCTCAATCAGCATTGTTTGCTGCTCTTTTCTACTCCATCTTCCCAGCAGAGAACTGCTTAGACATTGAGTATGGGGAGACTTTATTTTTGTTGTTATGCCTCACTCTTCCTTGAAGCAGGTCTTTTATAAAGGCACAAATAACCTAGGTGTTTTGGAGGTTCAAAAGACTCTGGCAGGGCTTAATGGCTTCATGCCCTATTGTGTGTACTAGATAGAGCTCATAAAAGACAATGAGGAGGAGGGGTGCAGTCTTTTATCACTTCACTTGTTTGTCAGCTGAGCAGGCATCCCAGTCGATAATGACAGAGCACGCCTGGATTTCCTGCAATGTGAATCTTGTGATCTTGTTATTTTCTTCCTGGCATTGCCCAGGGAGAAAAATAGTACATCTGCTTCAATTTATTTTGAGTAAAATGTCAGCAAGAGGCCAGTTGAAAGCATTCACCTTTATTGGTCAGACTGGAAGACGACTAAGCCAATTTTGCATTGCCAACCACCTACACACACCTGCAAAACCAGAAAAGGTGATGTTTGCTGAATTGGCTGATGCCCCCAAAGTCTTTTGTTTTCCTTCTAAACTGCCTCCTTTAGTCTCATCTATAAAACATGGTTGGTGGGTGTGGTTATGGTCTTCAGTATAGTCCATGAATATAAACATGGAGATTGTTCAACGATGAGAATCTGTGAAACCATTTGAGGCGCCAACTTTAAACACACACAACTTCTCCTTTTGCCTCCATTCAGCTGACTGGAGATTTCTCTCTCCCTTCCCAAAGGAATATTCAGTGAAATGCTCCTCCTCCAATTCCACCAATTGTTAATAGGGTGAAGAACTGTGGGAAGCCATTTTCATTCAGCCCCAGGGCCTATGTTCTTATGGATGAAAAAAGACACCCTCTTCTCAGTCTGGTCTGAAAACCCCTTGTGTTCAGTGTATCTGAAGAAGTGTGCATGCACACCAAAGCTTATACCCAGAACAAACTTAGTTGGTCTCTAAGGGACGTGGGTGGCGCTGTGGGTTAAACCACAGAGCCTAGGACTTGCCGATCAGAAGGTCGTCGGTTTGAATCCCCGCGACAGGGTGAGCTCCCGTTGCTTGGTCCCTGCTCTGCCAACCTAGCAGTTCGAAAGCACTTCAAAGTACAAGTAGATAAATAGGTACCGCTCCAGCGGGAAGGTAAACGGTGTTTCCGTGTGCTGCTCTGGTTCGCCAGAAGCGGCTTAGTCCTGCTGGCCACATGTACGCCGGCTCCCTCGGCCAATAAAGCGAGATGAGCGCCGCAACCCCAGAGTCGGCCACGACTGGACCTAATGGTCAGGGGTCCCTTTACCTTTAAGGTACTACTGGACAATTTTTAATTTATTTCCCTTGTGGATCATTTGGTTTCCAGGTTGCGAGTAGGCAGGGTTGCAAAGAAATATGAAAATAATTCATATTATTTTCTGTCCCCTTCAACACACACACACACACAGAGAGAGAGAGAGAGAGAGAGAGAGAGAGAGAGAGAGAGAGATCCAAAATCTATGGTAAAAAGCCCTGGGGAGTGACATGACTCCACTGATATCCATAGTTTCTGGAGTTGCAGTAATACTACAATTGGCATGTATTTGCTGGCAGATAGAATCTTGGGATCTGTCAGTAAAGGTGGATCCCAAGGACCAGTTTATATGCAGTGATGTTTCGCTGTTGTTTTTAAAAGCCCAATTAGGAGAAAGATGCTGGATCTAACTAGGTGAAGACCTCATTAGTCATCTGGGTGGAAGACAAGTGGGGTCTCCAAGTAAGAGCAGCAGATGTAAGCATCATAAATCAGTGTTCTTTTAACTATGGGTGTGTCTTTGTCCTCATTCACAGGTACTTTTGCAATGGTATCCTAGAAAGCCTCTTTCTCTGACCAAGTGGCCTCTATGCATCCAGTTGGGGAAAGCTACTATATACTAATAGCAAACGCATTTCACCGCAGATCCTGGTAACAGCACCATCTACAGTTGGTAGAGCATGAGACTCCTTAATCTCAGGGTTTGAGACACATTTTGGGCAAAAGATTCCTGCATTGCAGGTGGTTGGACTAGGTGAGCCTTGTGACCCCTTCCACCTCTACCATTTTACAATTCTATGAGTCTATGAAAAGGGAGGCGATCAGCAGACGGACTTGGAGAAAAGCCTCTGAGCCTGAAGAAGTACAAAACAAGGGAGAAATCACAGCAGGAATTGTAACAAGGAGCAGTCCATGCTGCAGGATTTGTTGAGGGTCCCACTTGGTTTCTTCATTTATAAAATGTCTGCATCACCTTTCCCCAGAGGCGCCTAAGCTGACATATGACATTTTTAAAATATGTGAAAAATATGGCTCGGCTGGGTGAATATTCCCCAAGCCACAGCACGCTCTAGAGCATGTATGAGTCAGACTTTACCACACAAATAAAACGGATGAAATCGATCGGAACCTTTCATTTTCTCTGACAAATAGTTTGTATTTGTAGCTGCAGTTTTGGAAAAGAGCAACAGATTCCAACAGGCATTTAGTGTTTTTGTTGTTTTTATTGGCATTGAATAATTCATACTTCAATTTACTAATTCACTGGGGATGAAATGAAATGTGTGTTTCGAATATGCCAGTTCTCTGTCTTCACTTTCTCCGACACAAACTTGGATTTGAATGGATGTCATTGAAATTCAAAGGTTGCTGAGAGCAAAGTTTCCCTCGAAAGGAAATCACCTGTTGTTGTAACCCGCTTGGCCTTGATCCCATGCACCCTGCATTTATTTCATTGTAACTCAGAGGTCACTCAAAGGAGATCAGATGGAAAAAGAGGATTGGGCCCCTGAACCTTTAACAGTTGTGTAGAAGAGGGAATTTCAGAAAGTGTAGTAGGTCATGTAAGATAAAACAGCTGAAATTCCCTCTTGTAAACAACCGTCAAAGGTGAAAAAGCCCTGTTCTTTATTTATCTGGCTTGTCTTGCCCATTCTCTGCACTAAAAAGAAATCAGAGACAAAATGCCACACAGATGGAACCCACTGAGAGGTACCTGCCAGGTAAGAAATATATGGTGCCTGTGTTCTCTTAAAAGGATTCCATTCAGGCAAAAACTGGAGCCTGAATCCAGTAATAGCCAAATTAAATGTTTAGAACAATTAGCTATTAGCACAATTACTAATTGTATGACTTACCACACAGCCCAGTCTCAATGGTGCAGGGGCTGATCAAGATCAGGACCTTGATGGGAAAGAGAGGAGGCAATGAGGCTTTGCTCCCATCCCAAAAAGGTCCAGATTGAGACCTTTGCATCTGCTACTATGAGAGAAGGTGACTGTCTTTAACAATATTGCCATGGATATGTTTACTGCCCTGTGCTCATTTGCAAGGAATAGTGGGGTATAAATCCATTTATTAACAAATAATTTATTTCTTCATTTACACTGGAAGGAAAGCTCTCATTTGTACCAATGGACAGTTTAGTTGCAGTACAAATAGCAGGCATGAAGACCTGGTGCAAATTGGGACCACAGTGGGGGGCAAAATGTTAAAGCCCCAAACCATCAATGTCATTAGTAATTGTTCTAGTTACAGGTAGGTAGCCGTGTTGGTCTGCCGTAGCCAAAACAAACAAACAAAAAAATTCCTTCCAGTAGCACTTTAGAGACCAACTAAGTTTGTTATTGGTATGAGCTTTGTAGTGCATGCACACTTCTTCAGATACCTGAAGAAGTGTATCTGAAGAAGTGTGCATGCACACGAAAGCTCATACCAATAACAAACTTAGTTGGTCTCTAAAGTGCTACTGGAAGGATTTTTTTTATTAGTAATTGTGTGCATGTTGTCATGTTTCGTTTGTCTCTAAATAGCCTCCCAAAACATCCTGTTTGCCAACCAATTCAGAGAAGAAGTAACTGAATCAGTTGGTTGATTGATTGATTGATTGATTGATTGATTGATTCATGCATGGTAACTCTGTTCCCAGGATAGATTCCTCTCTCTTTTGAATTCCCCTTGCATGACATGTTCTTCTTGCTCCTCTCCCTGACCTATGCTTGTGTATAGTATTCATCACCATCACCTTCATGTATCAGATTATGTTGGCTCCCTTGCCAGAATACGCTTGCTCATCATTAATGTGCCACAGGGCCCTGCTGCTTTCCGCTCACATAGATGAGCACAACTACCCGTTCAAAATTTGAATCAAACTCCATAGGATGGTCCTGTTCATTTGGTCACTGCTCATCTCAAACCCCATTATACCCAGACATCAGCAGCATAAGGTCAAGTGATCAATGAGCAGTTGAAACTTCATTCTCTGCTCCTTTTACTCATGCATCATTTGCAAATCTTCCATTTCTACTAATTTGAGTTCAAGGTCACCACTGGCCAATGCCATGTTCCCTCTTTTGCTTCTCCCTTCCTATAATTGGGAAATTACACAACTCCGTTCTTTTCACTCATCCAGTGAAGGCTGGCACAAATTAGTTATTAAAGGAAGATAAAACTGGGTCCCTACAAACCTTTTTATTTATACCAGTAAGACAGGATACTGCTAGTATGGTGTAGTAGTTTAGCTTCCTGCAGCCTGGTGTCTTCTTGCCTTTAATATTGCAAAGTGTCTCTACATCACCCAAAGTGTCACCTCCTTAACAGCTTGTTGACACCAATATTTTAGGTTTCATTCAACAAAAATAATCCTGTATCACTAACCCTGAACATTCAAAATCATGCTGTAGTCATTTGCAGTTTCTGGGGCTGTTTTTTGAAAAGTATTTCTCCATAACTACAAGGTCTGCAAACTCATACCCTCCAACATTTCTCCAATGTGAATAGGAACGTCTCATTCCACAATGATAATTTTACCACTTATACCCCACACATCTTTCTGGGTTGCCCAGGCCACTCTGGGCAGCTTCCAACAAACATGAAAACATAATAAAACATTAAAAAACCCTTCCCTATACAGGATTGCCTTCCGAAGGCTCAGGGGCCAGATAACTCCTTACCCTCCAGCATTTCTCCAAAGAAAATAGGGACATCCTAAGGAAAAGTGGGACATTCTGGGATCAAATCAGAAACTGGGACGGTTTCTCTAAATCAGGGACATCCCAGGAAAATAGGAAAACTTGGAGGGTCTGCAAACTTGCCGCAGTGTTTTCTATAGCATGTGACCAATTTTTCCATATAAAAAACAGACAGAAAAAGCTATGGAGAAGGCAGTAAGGTTGAAAGGAGGGGGGGGAATGGGGAAGAAAGCTGACACAGGAAAAGAAGGAGATAAGGAAAAATAAGTTCTGCAGTACAGATTGCTTTACCAGCCAAAAAAATAGGCAACTGTCTTAAAAGGGTGCAAAAGACATTTTTTAAAAGATGCTACTTAATGAAACAAACCAGGAGACAGCTGAGTTCCCTGCAAAAGCCTTGCATGATTGAAAATAAACACAACAACAAATTACCAAGTCAGTTATGGGCACGCTGCATAAGTTTGCAAACTCCACACTCTTCATGAAAGCCTGTGGGTTTGTGAAAGCTATCTTGGTTTCCGTTGCAGGGCAACTGCTTAAAGCTTAATGACACAATAACCATCTCAACAGACAGACCAAGCCTTGATTAACCAAAGCTGACAGGGATACTTTCCTTTTTATTAAAATAAGCGCGCCTTTCATTATATTCGCATTAACACTCTCCCCCATGCCAACGTGACTGCATGACTTGCTGGTTTCAAAGCGTTTGGTATCAAGGTTCTAGCTTCCAATCCTAATAAGGAAATACCTTATTAGGTAGGACCTAATAAGAGGTCCTACCAAGGTCATGTTATATATATGGCAAATGTTTGACTATCATCACATGGCATTCATCATGAGAAATCTAACAGATCAGTTGTCAAGGATATTATTTATTTTTTCAAAAATTAATTTTATGTTGCTAACGAAGCCAGAGTTGCGTCTTTCTTGTATATTATTTACATTGCCTGTGTTGCTTAAGTCAGGGAATCCAGGGAGTGAACTGCTGGGATTTTGCATCCAGTGTGCATTCCAAATGCCCATACGCATACCTGCAAACTTTTCACTGCATCCACCTGATGTCATTGGCATCAAAATGCCAGCCTATGTCCCCACTCCCTTAATCCAGATTTCCACAGGAACTCTTTCTACCTAGAAGTCAGTTTAAAACAATAGCACTGTTGCTGACAACCTGCTTGCAATATCTGACTGACGACTTTGAACTATGAAGCCTCTGTCTGGAAACACCTTGAGGTGGAAACACCTCTGTATTCGGAGGAACAATCTACAAGAATTAGACATGGGTGTTAAAGGTCTCTCCAAATTCTCTACTCTTATTTTTGAACAGAGAAATTGGGGGAATCTTTTCTCCAGATTTCTTCAAGAGGAGAATAAATTGCCCAGCTAATACTCAGAGGTGGGACTCATCATCAGCATTGGCAATGGTTTCTTTCCTCCACCCACCCCTCCAGCCTAGTCCTTTTAAATGGGTGTCACCCCTCTACAAGGCTCAGTCCTAGCATTGTTCTCTGGTGAGGCAGATGGGAGGAATAGTGGCACACCCACACCCACACACACAATGGTGGAGAACATTTGGTGAAAATTCAGCAGAGTGGCCTACGCCTTTCAGGAGATGGGAACTGAAACAGCTAGGGATTGATTGAATCTCATTCCATCAACTCTGCTGAAAGGCCAGCTCTGTGGGAGACCTCCTTCCCCTGAACTGTGCCCAGCTGGTCATTGCAATAACTACCATTTAACTTTAAGAATTGGCGTCTGACTTTGCTTTTTTCTTCTCCCCATCCCTTTTTCCTTTTATGTACTGTATTTTGGATGGTAAGCCTTCAGGCAGGGAGTGTGTTGTTCCAAATGATTGTATATAAGCTGCTCTGGGAGCTTTCTTTTTAGGCTGAGGAGCGGGTTTAAAATGTTTTTTAAAAATAGAAACCAAATCTCAGGGAAAATTGTATTCTGATATGAACATATGAAGAGCCCAGCTGGACCAGACCAAAGGCCTATTTAATCCATCTTCCTGTTCTCATCTCAACCAGATGCCTGTGGGAAGCCTAGAAGACTGACCTGAACACAACACCAACCTCCCCACTTGTGATTTCCAGCAACAGGAAATCAAAAGCAGAGACCAGGCTGATCAGGAGCTACTCTGTTCAGGAATGGTGGGGGCCTCCCCCTCCCCCTCCCCCTGCTCCTGGACCAGGATCTTGAAGCTGCCCAGGAGCAGTGGAGCAGTACAGATTTGGAGCAGTGGTTGGCAGAGGGACATAGTTCAGAAGACAACAGCTGGGCAGAACTGAGTGGGGAACAGTAGGAGAAGATGAACACGGAGAGAGAGAATTAACAGACTCCCTTTCATTGGAAAGTGTCCAACCAATCAGTCCAAGGTCAAGGAGAGCAGATAAGGTAGCTACACAGAAGGCCAAATGGTTGCGAGATCAGGTTGCCAGACGAGGAAGTGATAGGGATGGCTTCGGGGGGAAGTGGGTGGAAACCTTAATTGGGAGCACCTTTCCCCCGAGAATGGAGTCTTTGTTCTTTTGCTGTGAACATTAAACATCTCTTTAACTGGTAAGAGACTATTTTCGCTTTGTTCTGCTTATCCATGGCCAAAGGGAGGGAGGGAGGAAGCCGTTTCCCTGAAGCCTGACAGCCATGGATCCTCCATGCATTTGTCTAATCCTGTTTTAAAGTCATCCAAGTTAGTAGTGATTACTACTACTTGTGGAAGTTAATTCCATAGTTCAGCTATATGCTGTGTGATAAGCTTTGGCTCAGCTCTAACCAGAGGCATTTCTGTTGCAGCCTCATTGAAATGAATAGGATCTATGCATACGTTACCATGTTCTTGCACAGGTTTATTTCAATGGAGCTTGGGCAGGAGAACATCTCAGTAGACTCCATGCTAATGGGTCAGATCCATATGTCTCCCAGTCTACAGTCCTTAAAGGTGGCCCAACCCACAATGTCACCTTGCCTTAGAAGAGGCACCTGTCAGCTGTTTCTTTTCCCCAATCTAACCAAGGTGAAGCAATGGACTTTCCATACCATTTTAACTTCAAACTCCCACAGGCTCTGTTCTAATACCAACAAACTCGAAAATCCAAGGTTTCTGGTTCATATCAGGAGGAGACTCTGAAGATTCTTTGTTGGAAATGACGGGGCAGGATGGGAGGACAACAATGGAATCCAATTAGGTCACTGTTTTTGAAATGGATTTTAATCATTGCCAAGCAGCAATGAGGCAAAACGCAATCAAAGTCGCATCTGGAAATTAGATTGTGGTCAGGTTATTCTTAGCGGAATGTTTGAAAAGCAATTATTGGTGCTTAAAGCAAAAATAGATGAACTGGTGCAAAGCTTGAATGACCAACTAGCACAGAACCAGACATTATTGTTTTGAGATATAGATATATATAAACCCTCTGTGGGAAAATATAGTTGCCACAACACCAAGGAACATATAGTTCAAGTTAGGTTATGAGAAAGAGGCTTCTCTATCTCTGTAGCCCTTGACAATAATCTCAGTTGATACTGTGCCATGTTATTTTGCCTGTGTGTGACTAGAAATGAGCTAATCAGCTACCTCAGATGATAACGGAAATGCTATAGAATTATACAGCAGGCGACAAGGTTCAAATAGCTCCTTGAAGAATGAGTCATTTTAATAACTTTTGAGGTGAGTTGGTATGATAGATGCTTGAGAAATCTGTGCAGCAACACATTCCATAGTAAACTTGCCCAATCTGCAGCTCCTGGAATAAAGTGCAGAT